TAAAGAATATAGGAGTCCTTTATAGTAATTTGAGACTTCTACAAATTTAAAATTAAAAAGTAATAATATACTAACAATCACTAATGAACATTTGAAAACATGGTTGATTATAACAATAAAAATTAAACGTAAATAAAAAAAATTAAACATTGCCTTTTTAGGCTAATGGAGACATACATTTTCCTAAACATCTATAAGAATATAGGTAGCTAGTATTTCATGGAAGTTGCTGGTCATATTGGTTTTAAACACAAAAGTATGCATCCTTATTGAATAATTGTAATTTAAATGATTACTCCATAAAAAAGAAAATATTAACACTAACACTAATATTAGTATTTCCAGGAGAAATTTCAATCTACTCTAAAAACAAAAGTAGGTTAGAAAAGTTACATTTACAAAAGTATTCATGTATGGATAATAAAACAAAGCTGAAAATATTTGACTATTATTGTGAAAATTCTAAAATAGACCATATGAAAGCAGATCACAAAAGAGTACATGAAACACATCTCCAAATGAATTTAATGTAAAATGTTGAGTTCTGTGTGAGTAAAGGTAGCATGTGCAATAGGAAGAATGGCTTCATCAGGAGCCTGGCTACAGGCTTTTGCTCTGGAGGGATGTCTGGAGTTGCCCAATCAATCTCAGTTAGGAGAGCAGTTAGAACAATCCTCCAGATCTCCTGAAGGCAAAGTGCAGGATGGTGACCTTGGAATCTGCATTTCTGAATAGCACCCTGAATGATGCGATGCCTGATGTACACTTCTGAGAGTAGATTGCCAAGACTAAGCATGTGTTTAGCAAGAGTAAATTTAAGCCAATTAAACAAATGAGATCATAAACAAAGGAACATGTTGTTGCCTCTCTCTCTCTCTTTCTGCCCTCTTTGTCTAAAAAATGACTTTTCCTTTCTTTACTCAATCTCTGAGCAATCAATTTTTTTTTCTTACCTTTCCTTGTTTCTTCTGCCTTTTCACCTCTATGAAAATCTTCTTTGTACCATATTTCTTTATAGGTTGTGTCTTGCAGTATTATGAAAAACAGATCACAGTAAGGGAAGATCACCAAAGGGAGAGGGAGGGTAAAAGAAGGAAGGTGAATATGGTTGATGTACTTTCTATACAGAATGAATGTAGAATTTTTAAACCTGGTGAAATTACCATAAGAAGGGGACTGAGGTAGAAAGGATAAAAATAGAAGAGATGAACCAATTTGCTTTATAATACTTATATACATGGAAACTTCACAAGGAAACTCCCTGCATAGCTATCTTAAGCAAACAAAAATGTCTTTTTTTCTGGCTGCTGGAGTTGCTCAAGCTATAGAGCACCTAGCTATCAAGTGTGAGGCTCTGAGTTCAAACTCCAGGACAACCAAAAAGTCATTTTTCAGAAATGGAGAACAAGAAAATAAAACAGGGCCTGTCTGGGGTTTAGTTCAGTTGGAGGGGAAAGACACAAGGAAAGGGTGTAGGAGGATGATAAGTAGAAGTATTTTGTATTCATTTATGAAAATGGAAAAAAGAGACCTATTAAAACTATTCAGGAATGGGGGTAGGAGGGATTAAAGAGAATGATGGAGGGGGGGAATTTAACTATAATATATTGTTAGAATTTTTGTAAATGTTACAAAAATAATATGATAATAAAGAAAATAAAATTTAAAAAAGCAGTTATGGCTTCTGATTGATGTTGGTTATCTCTTCAGAGTCCAGTGTTCTAGACTCTTTCCAATTTGTTGGTGCCTAGAGATCTTGTTTATGAACTTTTTCACCTAAATCGTCTGCATCCACATATAAAGAGAAGCTCAAATTTCCCGTTGCTCTCTTTTCCTTAACGCCAAAGGATCTGTTTGCTATCCCTTACTGAAGCCTCTGACAACAGGCACTTCCATATTTTATCTGTCACCACAATCCTAAAGCATTTTATTATTTCAGTCGCTGGGCCCACTTCTAATAGCAGCTGAGAAAATCCATCTTCCAACACTTGCCGTATTTGGGAAAGAGTGTCTAGTAGTTTGGCTTCAGAGACTTGTTGAGAGTTATTCTAATTAATAACATTTTCCTTGTCTGCCAGAATTGTTGGGAACATTCCTATTCAGATGTCCATGGACATCTCAGAAGATTGAAGATCTATTAGTGCTTGTCATATTCACTTATTTCTCTTCTGGGAAAATGAATAAAAAAATAAGCAAAAGATGTATGCAAATAATCATACGTAAAATGCATACTAAAATTAATGATTTCATGGATATTAGAAAATAACCTTATAGCTTTATGGTTTGAGAGAATTTGCTTCCATCCTTTGTGACTAAATTTTCTCAACCATAAAATACAGATAATAGTACTTACTTTGAAGATTATTATAAGTTTTAAATGAATCAATATATTCAAGGGTCTAGCACAGTTTTTACAACACTTGTTTTACTCAACATTATCATATAAATAAAAAGTTAAAATGTTACATTATACCATGTTAATAAATCACTGTCACTACAAAATTTTAGTAGATAAATATTATCATAAAATCTAGGGAAGCAAACTATATAAGGGTACAACTATATACATAGATGTTTTTAAAAAATACACCAAAGTGATCTTTTCTGCTCTGTAATGTGTAAAATGCAAACATAGGCTTTCTTTTGTGATATATATTCTTCCAATCCATTTTGTTCTTGCAAAAAAGAAAGTATTGATGAAAGGAAGTATCAGTACAATTTGGCGAACTGTGTGATTAATTTTACCCATGTAGTTTCAAATCACTGAGTGTTACTATAAAGAAAACAGCCAGCCTAATGGTAACTGAGTTACAGTAAAGTCTTAAAAACTTAAGAACTCATGCCTGGGTAGCTGAAAGAGACCCTAGAATTACTATCATACAAGTTGTACCTCCCAAGCTTCCTCAGATACGATTGCAAATTCTGAGCAGTGTTAATGCAGTGCCAAGAGTACTCTGGTTTTTCATCAGTGTCACTTACAAGGCATGCTGGACATTTAGCAGCAGGACCATTAGCCATCAAGGCTGTGAAGTAATGGGATAATACTTGTCTACTAACCCTGAAATAAGCTCACTGTATGTGACCTACATCCTCCTGATGGAAGTATGAGAAGATGATGACACCACAAAAGTGAAGCAGCTGCTATATGTCAAGCCAAAAAGGAAGAAACTCAAGTCAGACAGAAGGAAGGAACGCTATAAGAGTGAGCTGAAGTAATAGACCTAACAACGTGGCATGGCCACGTAGATAGAAAGTGATCTGAAGGGGCAAGAGCTAAACATTGAGGTACAAACATTGAACAAAGGAAAAAACTGTCAAGATTTGCAATCAGTCAGTGTTGACAATCAGCCACATGAAATGTGTTAAAAATCTGGTTTTTACCGATTGCTTTATTTTAGCATCCTTTTTTAAAGATGAAAATTAAATATGTGTATATAAGTGATATATTTTATATGGCACTGAGTATTAGGAAAATGAAAAATGCTCTGTCAAATTTATTAAAAGGAAAAAGCAATGCTCAATCATTGTGAGGTTTGAAAATAAGATGAATATATGTATATTCTACCAATATGCACAGAAAACAACATAGTGGAGTTTTGTGGGAAGAGGAATTTTGACATCTGAATTTCAAGTCATATACATTAAGCCAGTAGACTCTCACGTGGGCGACTGGAATAACCACATTTTAAACAGAGATGCTGCCACTTTGCAAACTTTACAAAATTGTCAGAGTGCTTCCTTTAAAAACCACCATGTAATTTTTGTTTAACTAGGTTGTTGTTGCATAAGCGATATTCTAAAGGCATTAAAAGTGATCGTGATTGTGATGTTTATCATCTAATCAACATTGCTTAAATAGTAATTTTCACACAAAGGTTATTTTATTTAAAAGACAAGAATGAATATTTTGGGGATTGAAGTGGTTGACATGAAATTATATTAGACAAATTAAAGTTAAGTTAAAATTCTGATTTCAAAAGCTACTAGTGATAGTATATATAGCTTCTGATTTTTTTTAAGCCTTAGCTTCCTCAACTAAAAATTTGATTGAAAGTATTAAACTCATGCCTTTTGGAACAATAAAATATTTCATGTAAGTTAATGACTGGCACAAGGTAAAATCACAGCAAATTCTCATATTTGCTTGTTTGAAATTTTACTATGCTCTTAAAAAGCAAAAATGGGCTTTTGGACAAATATATTTCTTCTGCTTAGCTGATACTGAGCCCCAAGTTGAGAGATTTATAAATGAAAGCTATCGCTTGCAAGAAATGAAGAGAATAACTGCATTGAGAAGTCAGACATTCAAGAGTTCATTTAAAGATTTTTAAAAGTTTTCCAAAATACTTATTTCAAGCTTTGTTGAAGAGAAGTTTGCTTTAGAAAGTTCACCGTATTTTCCTTGTTTTGGTCAGAAAACTGTCTTTTCATTACATATGTTTGCCTGCAGGGGCCCCTGAAATGTAATTTTCCAGGCAAGGTGAAAGTTCTCTGAATTAAAGAATATCTATGTTTCAGCTTATTGGGTACATATATTCATTCAGTTAATTCAACTAATCTTTTTATTTGCATAACTTATATCTAAGGAATGATTATTTTGTTTCCTATTTTCTTTATATAGTTACACAATTTTCAGATTGAAGATATGACAGATATCAATAACAGCATTTCTTCCAAAGCTGTATATATCTTTAAATTTTAAGCATAAGAAAAATCCATAAAAGAGAAAAATTAGAAAAGTTCTGATAGTGTAAAAAAAAAAAAGTGCATTTCCTGTTAAAGAAATTTCTCTATCCTTTTTCTTCATTCCTAGAACAGAGTCTGTTATTATAAAGCACGATGCAGTAACACTTTTGTAAATGAATCACTGTAGCATTATACCATTAACCTCTGAACTGATGTCAGAAAGTAAAGACTGGCTGCCTCTAGATCAAGTTGCTGCTGCAGCTCTCGCGAGCTTTGTCAGTAGGGCTTTGTCAGTAGCGGCTGATTGTAATGTCAGTGCCTTCCAATTTACAGGCTGGAGCAGCAGCTGCATCCTGCATTTCCCTCAAGTGTTACATGACTTCCACTCCTTCCAAACTTCATCATCTGTTTTTTTGCAGACAGTCGGGTAAGTTGCTCTGAATTTACACCTTGGTGTAGAGATGAGAGTTTATGTGAAGAATATTCTGTGGGAAGAGTGGAGTTTCTTCTTGTGTTTACTGTGCCCCTTGGGGATCGCTGGGGACAGTCACTGGTGCTGGGAATGGGATAGATGCAGCAGGCTGAAAAGGCACATGCATCAGATCTTTCTATTAGGGAGGGAACACAGATTCAGTCTATTTAACGACTGAGAAAATAATAAATTTATTCTGCTTTGTGGAAAGGGCCATAGCACTTGTGGAATCTCTGACATCTATATTCTTTTTGAGCAACCTAAGAAGAAATATTTTATGTGACTTTGCCCTTAAATGCATTGCTAAGTGAGTTGCTCCTTAAAAGAGCAACGAAAGTACTCTTTGGCTGTTTTGATCAATTTGTTCCCTTTTTTCTTTTTTAAGTGACATGAATTAAATTATTCTCTTATTAGTTGCTTAATAGGGTAGTTTTCTCAATCAACACATTGTCGTCTGAAACTTTTACAATATTAGCTGGCAAAGGATCCTCAAAGTTTATGTAAAAGGGAAAATCTGCTTCCTAGTTTGATTTACAGACTTATCCCTTTTGCCCTGCTTGTCCTCTTTCCTTTTTTACATATGTGTACTAATTTTTATATATGTGTTTAAATTGTGACAAAATATTGTATATTTACTATTAGTCTTATTACTTTAGAAAAATAAGCAAATACAAACTTTATTTTCATGCTCATCCTATATTCTTGGGAAGCTACCATTATTTTTATGACTTCAGATCCAGTTTAACCAGGGACTAAGAATTGAGTATAAAATGTATAATATTGAAAGAAAGTTGATGTACAGACAAAATAGCTTCATTACTTATATTTCTGTTTGTTACATATATTTTCATGCCATGAATAGGTCTTCTGTGTTTATATGAATAATACTCCAATTAGGACTTTCTAGCTGGAGCATGAGGAAGCATGTGTAATACTTCCTTAATATAATCTATCTAATAGTTATGATAAGTATAACTACATTTCACTTATATAAATACTTTAGTAAAAGAAAAGCACGAGCTTCTAAAGTATGGCTTAATGACTGGAATGGTAATTTTTGGAGTTCTCTATAGATATGAAATACATTGCCTTTTGGACACCAAATGTAATTTCTAATTACAAATTTCAAATTTCTAATTTCAAATTCTGTTTGGTTCTCCTAGTTTTAATATTCTTGTTTATGTGCAATGTCTAACAGTTTTACTTGGAAAAAAGTTTGAAATCTACTCCTTATTTCATTTTTGTAAAGTATAATCTGAGAATATCTTAACTAGGCACATTTCATCTGTAGAGTTAGTCTGGCTTTGATTTATTTCTTAGTTATTACTAGTAATAAATATTTAAATTTTATAATTTCTTTCTTTTGATGCTTTTACAAAAATCTGGTCCTTCTTGCCAAAATAGACTGTTCTAGATGTTAGAGAAGTATGACTGAACAAATAATAGAGCAAATTCATTTTCCAAAGAATATCTGATAAATCTAAAAATTAAATGTTCAAATTATTTATACAATGCAAGTTTGTGAATTCTCTTTCTGAATGAGAACAGAGGCAGATCTTATGTTTCTTGAATCTAATATATTATCTTCTATCTGTAGGCAACCACTCGGTGCTTAATGGATATCTGAGCATGCCTAAAAGACAGTGGTAGAGTCTATTTATAATCAGACTTCCTCAACTCCCTGCTTCGCTTATCCTGAAGCAAAACAATCTTTTTGGGTTTGTATAAAGACTTAACTGTTTCTATTTGACCAAATACACTTTAACAGTGCTTCTGTGTATCTATCATCTATCTATCTATCATCTATCTATCTATCTATCTATCTATCTATCATCTACGTATCTATCATCTATCTATCATCTATCTTAATATTATCTAGACAATTTTCACTACCATTTTAAGAAACTGTTTTCAAATAAGAAACATTTTATTGTGACTTTCTTTAAAGATAGGAAAAGTACTCTATGACCACAGGACAGTGTTGTGAATATTTTTTGACATTTCTTATGAAGTCCTACGATAGTGCATTATTTTGAATATTATGACAAATAAATAGCAAATAAATCATTCATTATTTCACTTATTTTATCACACCCATATGTGACAGTATATCATTGCATATTTTTTCTAAATTAGTTGGAGAATTTTGATACTTTCAAAATTGAATTACAAATGCAAAAAGAAAACAAAGTTTGCCTTTTCATTTTAAAAGTTATAGTTTTAAATATTTAATATTTCACAAAAAATGCCACTGAATTTTGACATCCTAGGGCTTTTGATAAACTTGGAACTCTTTATCCTGGCTTTTTGTACTTCTGCTCTATCACTCATTTACTTTTGTTATTCCAAACAAAGCTCCCACTTCTCTTTTAAATATTAACTACTGCTTCAATAAGTTAATTGATCTAAATTCAGGTAATTGTACTTTGTACAAAAAATATGTCCCATTCCTTATGATAAACATGTGATACTCTCTCAGAGTTTCACCATTTATTGAATAACAATTACCATCTATACCAGAATTTATAGGAGAAGCATTGATGTTTTATTCAACTTTTTAATTATTATTGAAAACTTGGTCATATAGACTAATGGTATTTATTTAGTCTTCTCTTATTTACTTCCAATCTCATTGTTTAATCATGTGATAGGTATATACCAAAATGTAAATGTTTTAATTGAAAAACTGTACAGCATCATGTTAAGAGAAGGAATACACATTATGAAAAGACAAAAGTGTTGCTTATTTAAATAAAATACTACAATCAAATGTAAAGATCTTAAATACACTGCTTTGTGAACCTTGGCTTATTTTCCTATCAAAGTACATATTTGCTGATATGATGTCTAGAGATCTGCAACAGGTAGGACTACAGTTGGAACTAAATTGACATCCTTGTAATAAATGATCTTTAATGGTACTAATGATTTTCCTTAATTGTGCTAATTACATTAGTTGCAAGGTGAAAACTTATAAATATTATTATTGAAAAAAGATGACTGTAGCTCATATAAATAGACTATATAAAAATAAGATCTATTTTCTACAAAAGGTAAATAAAAACACATAAGAAACATTTATGTCAATAAAACTAAGTGACACTGTAATGATATTTTGTTTTAGCAGCTGTTTTAAGACATGAGTAACACAATTACCATATTTATTAATTGCATCCCAAACAAATATATTTTGGCTATAACTATATTTCTTTGCAGTAAAATTAATAAACTATTGACAAAAGTTCTAAATCCTTGAAAATTATTAGAAATAACAATTATGAGAATTTTGTGTTTGATTTTTTATCATAAATTAACATTTAAGTAAAACTGAGAAACAAACCAACAAACTAGCTTTGCTATGGACTCAGAAGACCACTAATTGAACTAATCAAGAAGGAGGAATCAGAACAACCAGAGGTACAATAATTAATTTATTAAAATGCAGTCTAGAGTAAGTCAGCTTTGCATCATATTCATTTTTCTGGACAAAGTAGGCTTACAAAAATAGAAAAAAGTATCCCTCACAGCACTTTGTTCTTTTCCTAATGCCTATTTACATTTTATTTAATTGTCATTCTCATATAAAGATATAAATTCTCTTGTCTTTTTTTCCTTTATTTTTGTAATGGGTGGTGTTACATTGTTACATTTACAAAGATTTTTACAGTGCATCAAATACATCATACATGAATTCACTGCCTCTACTGTTCTCCTTCATCCTTCCCTCCCTTGATTCCTGGATTAGTTTCAACAGGTATCATTTTTGCCTTTACTTATTAAAGAGAAAGATATTGATAATTATCAGTGGAAAAGAATAGAAACGATGGTAATAGCCATGCTTCTAAAACTCCTGTCAAAAATATAAAATTCCCTTATGTCAAGTCACCAGAACCTTTAATTTATTATTACAAGTTATTTGCTTATTATTATTTGTAGTATAACAAATTTAATTTATTATGATTATATTAGTAGGTAGGTGTCATAAAAGAGCATGCCTCAATAATTTATTCAATTACTCTTCTTGTTCAGTTGTATCAAAACAGAACATAAAAAATACTTTGTGGCTTGATTTTTAAAAACAAAAGTTATTATTATAGCAATCATCTTATAAATGGATAAATAGCTTATATATACAAATATTGATAAAATTGCACAGAGATATATTCAATAAATACTGAGCTATTATTCCTGTTCTATAGACCATATTTTAATTTTTCCAGGTAATTGCTAAAATAAAAAAAAAACTTGTTTAATTTTAGCCATTCTGCAAGCAGCAGTGAATAAAGCTGATTTAAAATAAGAATATTCTAAGTTTGGAAATGTCATAATCAGGATAATTCCTTACTCACTTCCTCCTTAGACAAATTAAATTAAAGAAACAAACAGAAAGCTAACAACAACGTTCAGTGCTGACAGGATTAGTTTCTTGTTCATGCAGGGTGGATTTACAATCAGGGCACCACCAGATAATGCAGAGCACTACTATTGTTACGTGGATTAGAAACAGTACTTCTAAATGAGTGTTTTAATTGTGTTTCTTACAATTATTGAAGATGCTGATTCTTTAGTATTTGCTTTACATTTTTCTATCTCTTTATATCACATGGAGTTTCAGTGTGAATTTTTAACTTTTTATTCAAAAAACTAAGGTACTCATCACGAACTTTTGAAAAAATTATGATTTCCCAAAATAGTTTCCTTATGTCATCCATAAAAATTATTTAATGAAGTATCAAATATTTATTATTTTTTAGTTCACAAAGATAAATCTTGCTTCTTTTACTTATTCCAGTAATCTCTCTGTTTTAGTCCTCTGATTTTAATCATTTTGCCCACTATCAAAACAAAAGTATCTTTGACGATGCTAACACAGTTAGCCTGTTGCATGGCTTTAAACAATTAACAAATTAGCAGATGTGTGTTGAGTAAAATTTGTTCTAAACCAGTGTCTTCTGCCACACATAATACCACCAAATGTCTTACCATTGAGAGTGTAATTCAGGCAGAGTCCCCTTACTATTCTCAAGTTTCAGAGAAATTGCCTGTTATAAATATAAAAAATAAATAAACATAAATCTTACATTTGATTCCTAGCTGTCAATTTTCTCTTCTAAGGTAGGCTTTATAGTGGGACCAAGTTCGTCAGCTTTTTTTTTTTTACAATTTGTAAGATAAATCGCAACTTTGTATTTTGTTACTTAACATCCTGTTAAACTGTCTAAATTTTTTTTTTGACAATAGACTAGGATAATGTAGAAGAAGAAGTTTCTAGGAAAAAGGACCATGAAGGGGCCGTGGAACAGGAAAGAACAATGATAGACATATATGGAGCCTTAAAAGTTCTTCACCTATTTCACAGTTCCATCCTGAGTCAACCAGACATGATATTCAACAGAAAGTATATCTGAAGTAAATCAACTCCAGTTATACCATATTTGATGTGGCTGTACATGCTACAGAATTAATGCTTTCTATGCCTGGAACAAGATTCCTCTATGAAGTACTGAAAATCTTTACAGATGCTTGATGACGAGCATTTCCAGAATGAAAAAATTTCTTTCTACTCTGTTTATTTCTCTTTTGAATTGAAATATTTCCATTTTCTTTTTACGTACATAAACTCTTATAGCAGTAACAGATTAAATAGTTTTCCTAATGTTAAATTAAAAATCATGACTACATATTAGTAAATTATCATCAGTAAATCATAACACCATATGACTTGCTTTCTTTTAGAAACCAATATGCAAAGCACACGTACAATCACAGGTCTCCAGTTTCTCTTGTGGATTCTTTTGCTCTGTCTGCTCATCAAAAATTCCCACACTGAAGAAGATGTAATAATTACAACCAAGACAGGAAAAGTCAGAGGGATGAACTTGTCGGTTCTTGGTGGCACAGTAACAGCCTTTCTTGGAATTCCCTATGCACAGCCACCACTTGGTCGACTTCGATTCAAAAAGCCACAACCCATGACCAAGTGGTCCGAAGTTTGGAATGCTACACAATTTGCAAATTCATGCTATCAGAACATAGATCAAAGTTTCCCAGGCTTCCGTGGATCAGAAATGTGGAATCCAAACACAAACCTTAGTGAAGACTGCTTATACCTGAATGTTTGGACTCCTGCACCTCAACCAAAAAACGCCACTGTAATGATATGGATCTATGGTGGTGGCTTTCAAACTGGAACATCTTCTTTACCTGTTTATGATGGCAAGTTTCTGGCTCGGGTTGAAAGAGTTATTGTAGTTTCAATGAATTACAGAGTGGGTGTTCTAGGATTCTTAGCCTTACCAGGCAATCCTGAGGCTTCAGGGAACATGGGCTTATTTGATCAACAGATGGCCCTTCAGTGGGTCCAGAAAAATATAGCAGTTTTTGGTGGGAATCCTAAAAGCATAACTCTCTTTGGAGAAAGTGCTGGAGCAGCTTCAGTTAGTCTTCATTTGCTTTCTACTAAAAGCCACTCTCTGTTTACGAGAGCCATTCTACAAAGTGGATCCTCTAATGCCCCTTGGGCTGTAATGTCTCCCTATGAAGCTAGGAATAGAACATTGACCCTAGCTAAATTTATTGGTTGTTCTAGAGAGAATGAGACTGAGACATTAAAATGCCTTCAAAAAAAAGATCCCCAGGAAATTCTTCTGAATGAAGTATTAGTTCTTCCTTATGATACTCTCTTGTCAGTAAACTTCGGTCCAACTGTGGATGGTGATTTTCTTACTGAAATGCCACACACACTTCTACAACTTGGACAATTCAAAAAAACCCAGATATTGGTGGGTGTTAATAAAGATGAAGGGACAGCTTTTCTAGTATATGGTGCTCCTGGTTTCAGCAAAGATAACAATAGCATCATAACTAGAAGGGAATTTCAAGAAGGTTTAAAAATATTTTTCCCAGGAGTGAGTGAATTTGGAAAAGAATCAATCCTCTTCCACTATGCTGACTGGGTAGATGATCATAGACCCGAAAATTACCGAGAGGCCTTGGATGATGTTGTTGGGGACTACAACATCATATGCCCTGCCTTGGAGTTTACCAAGAAGTTCTCAGACTTGGGAAACAATGCCTTTTTCTACTATTTTGAACACCGGTCCTCCAAAATTCCTTGGCCAGAATGGATGGGAGTGATGCATGGCTATGAAATTGAATTTGTCTTTGGTTTACCTCTGGAAAGAAGAGTTAATTACACAAGAGCTGAGGAAATTTTGAGTAGATCTATAATGAAATGCTGGGCAAATTTTGCCAAATATGGGTAAGTGCTATTTTCTCTGGTTTGTTCTTTTCTTTGCATGATCTCCAATGTAGACTTCATTAAAGGCATAGAAAAGTTTTAATTATTTCTTCTCTGTATCTGAGCTAATTTTGTTTGTCATTATAGAGTGAATTCCAGTTCTGTGTGTCAGTGCTGAAGGAAAGTCATCATAAAACTTTTATGAAAACTATTTTATGATATCATTTCCAAAATATTACGAAGTACTTTAAGAATGTCAGTCAATGTTCTTGAGTAATAAATACTTACCTCAACAATTAAAATTATGAAGGCAGTGCTTTTTAACCTGAAAGTTTATCATGCTCAAATATTAAGGAAAGAGTAGGAATGTATCTGCTCATGCTTTTACTCCAGTTCCATGGTATCCTGTAGATGAAGAAACTTCTCTGCTCAGGAAGACGAAGGGGCAAGCTGGTGATGGGCTTTCCCAACATTACCAAGAATTCACAGCAGTGGGCATTTTTATGAATTTATTTTCCTTTCAGGTTTACTGAGAATTCTCAGGCAACCTTTTTGACCTCTTGTTTAGCTAAACTGATGTCCACTTGAGGAGTCTTATGACTAGTATTAGACAATCAATGGCTTTACAAAACATCACATTTTCACTCCTGTCTTACAAATATTGTGCTGTGTCATCAGACATCAGAAGAAAACACAGACAGTCACCTCCTTACAAATGGTTCGACTAATGCATTTTTGACTTTTCAGTGGTGTAAAAGTGATACCACTCAGTAGAAACTCTACACTAGTTTTGAATTTTGATCTTTTCCTGGTCTAACAATATGAAGTAATGAGGTATGATACTCTCTCAACATGCTGGACGGTGGCAGCACGACAGAGCTCCGAGTCAGTGACGAGTGGGGAAGCAGCCAACACTCTGTAGTATACTGGGTTGCTAAGCTGCTGGTTCTGCCAGCATATATTTACCTCCTAGAGAGATTGTGCCTGTACTGTTTTACTTTCACAGACGTTATTGTTTTCTTGTCTATATCCTGTGTTTCATTATAAGCTCATCCTTCTACACGTTACTAAATTAGCTTCCTGAAATAGAAACTGTGATTTTAGTGAACATTCATTAAAGTACTAAGAAGGGAATATCATACGTACCAAATATTTGGTTAATGAGAACTTGTAAAAGCTAGTATGAAATATAATTTTACTATATTTTCAGGATACCTGGGTTATTATATTGTCTGAAACTGTACATTCTCAACATCATCCTAAATTTCTTCTCAAGAATAGAAGGATCATCTTACTTTTAGAGCTTCATTAAAGCTACTTGTGTCTCATTCTGTTCTTTCCCTTAAGGCTGAATCCATATTGAATCATTTGAATATGTTTTAAATTTTTCTTAGAATTCTAGAGACTGTAAATTACTTAAAGAGAAATATTTCTTAAAGTTATTGATGTCTGTAATTTTAAAAGGCTGAATATTTTGCATATTGAAATCATAAAGGAATTTATATTTTGTCATCTCACAGTGGATTGCACTGAGAATAAGATATGTAAATATCTTGTTTATGACACACATTGCAGCAGACCTAAGAAAATAATCTTTAACATTGAATTGAATAAGCTGCTTAACCCTAATCAATTACATCTATGACTAATGTATTTTAAAGGGAAATAAATGAACATCAAATATTTATTTTTAAAGATAAGATAGAGATTAAAAACCATAAAAGATTAAAATAAACTTGGTAAAATCATAACAGGATTTTACTTAGAAAAGTAAAATGCTCATTATGGTCCATAATTGGCTATTGAATAGGGCTAAGAATAGTGTCACGTGTGTTGAGAGTAGGCTGGAAGGCAAACAAATTCATAACGTTAAGTGAACACCAGTGGAAACCAAATAGGTAAGCATTAGAATTGGAAACCCATCTGAGTAGGCCTCACCTCAGACATGATGATACAACTTTACTTCTCAAGGTTGTAAATTTGCCCCCATTCTCCCCGTCCTTAGGGATATTTAACAATATTGACAATGTCTAGAGCCCATTATGAATGTTCCAGTTGGAATTGGTGTAGTACTAGCAGGTAGAAGACAGAGATGATACTAAGCATCACGTAATATGAAGTACAGATTCCCACAAGTAATTAGCATAGTCCTCAGTGTTAGTAACAGCAGGTTGAGAACACCTGCCAGTACTTACAATCCCAAAAAGAAAGGAATGGTAGAACTTGAGGTTGCAATTATTATTCAGGAAAGTGAGTTTTCAGGTTCATGTTTCATACAGTGGTCTAATTAATTCTTCTTAAATAGTAAGTCTTTGTAAATAGCTTATGAACTTCATTGGAGTCTGATTTGCACACAGTAAATACAATTTAAACATGCAGTTCAATAAGCTCTGACCAGTATATATGAAACATAATTCTGTGGTCTCTGCAAATTATCCCCTGCCTATTTGCAGTTACTTTTCATCCCTCACCCTCACTCATTGATTACCTTCCTATAATATAGATTAGTGACCTTTCCTAAACATACATGTTTTTGGTATCATACAGTGTATGGTTTTGTTTCTACATCTCTTGTTCATTTATTAATATATCTGAAATTCAACTCTTATATTGATTAATAGTTAATTTGTTACTCCCTACTTATGACTAGTGCCCATGGAGGTTATACAACAATTTGGTCATTCACATGTGATTTGTTTCTTGATTAAGAATATTATGAAAAACTTAGTATGGATATTTTTGTTTGAGAAACTTACTGGATTTTTTTCTCATTTAGTATGTAAAGAAGTAAGAGAGGGAGTGCAAGATTGTATGCTTACTTGAGAAACTGATCAAGTGTTTTCTTGTTATTGTACAAAATAATGGGTTTCATTATCACATTCACAAACAGGGAAGTCACTTTGATCCTATCCACCCCCATCCACGACCTTGTCCTTTCCCCCTCTTACTCCTCCTTTCCCCATAAAAAGCTCCTTGTTTAGGTTTCTGTGGGTTTTTTTCTATTTATGAATCAAGTTTCCAAATATGAAAGAAAACTTGTACTATTTGTTTATCCAATCTGGCTTACATTGCTTAACATGATAATTTCCAGTTCCATCCATTTTCCTGCCAATGTCATAATTTCATTCTTCTTTATGGCTAGTAATGCTCCATCATGTACATATACCACATTTCTCTTATCTATCCATCTCTTGATGGGGACCTAAGCTGATTCCATAACTTGGCTATTGTGAACAGTGTCGCTATAAACTTGAGTGTGTAGGTATCCAGATATATGTCCAAGAGTGGTATAGAAGGATCATAGGGTAATTCCATCCATAGATTTTGAGGAGTCCTTACTGATTTCTATAGTTCCAACACTAATTTACATTTTCAACAATAGCGTGGGAGGGTGCCTTTTCCCTACCCCCTCACCAGCACTTGTTTTTGTTTGTTTTCTCCGAGGTAGTCATTCAGACTGGGGAGAGGTCGAATTTCAGTTTTGTTTTGACTTGTATTTCATTTAGGATTTTCAATTTTTTCTCTTGTAATTTATTATTCTTCATTTGAAAATTTTTCAACTCATTTGTTCATTTATTAATTAGATCACTTGTTTGGTGTTAAACTTTTTGAACTTTTATATATTTCAAATATTAATCCCCTGTCAGATGAATAGCTTACAAAGATTTTCTCCTATTCTGCAGGTTGTCTATTCACTCTGATGATTGTTTCCTTTGATGTGCAGGTTTTTAATTTGATGTAACTCTATTTGTCTTATTTCCTGGGTAACGGGTGATATTCAGGAAATACTTGCCTGTGTCTATATCTTCAAGTGTTTTCTCTATTTTTCTCTCTAGTAATTTCAATTTCAGGTTTACATTATACTCTTAAATCCATACAGAATTCATTTATGAAATATGTGTGAGAGAGAGAGGTCTGATTGAGCTCTAATTTTACCTTTCTGCATATGTTTATGCAATTTCCCCAGAACCATTTTAAGATGCTATCTTTTCTCAACATGTTTTTTGCCCCTTGACAAGAATTAGATGACTATAACTGTGTAATGTTATTTCTGGGTCTCCTATTCTGTTTCATTGATCTTCTTGTTTGGTTTTGTGTTATTGCCATGCTCCTTTTATTAATATAACTCTGCAGATAATTCAAATTAAGGTATTGTGATATCTTTAGCATCAGTCTTTTTGTTCAGGATTGCTTTGGCTGTTGAGAATCTTTTCTGCTTTCATATGAATGTTGGTATTTATTTTCTACTTAGGTGTTTCCTTTAGCTGAGAATTTTATACTCTAAGAATCAGTGTCCGAGAGCCCCAATGGTTCCACATCCTCAGCACCACTTGGAATTATCATTCTTTCTAATTTTGGCCATTTTATTGGTTTTGTAGTGGAATCTCATTGTGGTTTTTCTATGTATTTTTCTGGTGACTAGTGATGTGGGTCATCTTTCATGAGCTCACTGGTCATTGGCATATCCTCCATTTTGAAGCATCTAAGTCTTTTACCTATTATTAATGATAGTTTACTTATCATGGAATTATGAGTTCTTATATTTTTATGATACAAATTCTACATGTGTCGAATATTTTGTGTTAATCTGCATCTTGACTTTGAATTTTTAAATTGCTTTCTTAGTGCTGGGAATGTGGCTCAGATAGAACACCTTAGCAAGTGCAATGTCCTTATAACTTGCCTACATTTAATTTCATTGTAAGGTTTAAGTATAAGAGTAATTTTCCTTCTCTGTATAATTTCGGACATTGCATATGGCTGAATTATTTACTCTTTAAGTGTTTAACACATTTCACCAGTGAAACCATTTGGCACTGGTACTTCCTCTTGGGAAAGTTGTTTATTTTTTTAAATGACTATAATACTTCAATTGGCATGAAGATATCTACAAATTCTATCCCTTCTTGATTCAGTTTTGATAGGCTATATTTTCAATTATATTTATCCAACTAATCAAAGTTATCAAATTAATCAGAATAAAATTACTTATATTTCCAGTTATACTAATGTTTATAGTG